CACTATAAAACACAAACCTAGTAACTAGAGTTCAGTGTTTGTTTCCGTTTTGGGTGTTTTTTTTTTAATTTTTTTTTTTTTTTTTTTTAAGATGGAATCTGTCACTAAACTGGGGTGCAATGTTGCGATCATAGCTCACTGCAGCCTCGAACTCCTGGGCTCAGGCAATCCTCCTGCTTCAGCCTCCTGAGTAGCTAGGACTACAGGCACATGCCACCACACCTGGCTAATTTTTCTTATTTTTTGTAGAGATGAGATCTCACTATGTTGCCCAGGCTGGCCTCGGAACTCCTGGCCTCAATCAGTCCTCCTGCCTTGGCCTCCCAAAGTGCTGGGATTGATGATTCTTGCTTGAATCAGTTATTGCCATGTTGGCAATTGTCTAACTCAGTCATTCCTTCTGCATTTATTATCTGGCATTCCTTCTACATTTATTTCCAGGCAAGCCATTGTGCCTGGCCTCTTTTTTATTTTAGTGGGAGGCTATATAGTCAGACTACTGTGTTCCAAGGTAACTTGGTTAACTTTTCTCCCCTTCCAATGTGATTCTATTATAGGTTTTATAGAGGTTCATTTGGGTCTGATTGTGTTTCATTTCAGAGTTTTTTCTCCCCCCCTATTGTTTTGATTTTTTTTTTAAGTGTAGGAAATGTTAATATTGTTGCCAAATCAAAACTATACAGAAAGCTGTCAGGAGTACTATTCCCTGCTTATCCCCATTCTTGCTTGCCTGTTCCCACCCAGCTTCCTTAGGGAACCTTTATTCTCGGTTTCTGGTTTATCCTTCATGTGTTTCTTTTTTACAAAAATAGGTAGATCTGTGTATATTCTGTTCCCACTGTTTTCTTCTATAAAAGTTGGCATAGGATATGTGCTGTTTTATACTTTAATAAGAATATGAAAGGGAGGAGATAGGTTCAATTTCCTTTTTTTTTTTTCTTTTTTTTTGAGACAAAGTTTTACTCTGTCACTTTGGGTAGAGTGCAATGGTGTCATCATAGCTCACTGCAACCTCAAACTCCTGGGCTCAAGGGATCCTCCTGCCTCAGCCTCCTGAGTAGCTTGGGACTACAGGTGCACACCACGATTTTTCTATTTTTAGTAGAGACAGGGGTCTCACTCTTGCTTGCTGGGTTCAGGCAATCCTCCTACTTCGGCCTCCCACAGTGCTGGGATTACAGGCATGAGCCACCACGTCCCACCTATACTTTTGTTTTTTGGGTTTTTGTTTGTTTGTTTGTTTTTGCTGAACAGTATATCCGGGAAATCAGATCTTCCTTATACTCTTTTGTTCTGAGGTTGCCAAGAGAAAGGACTGACGTTCCTGCTCTACAATAGACTTCCCTTGTTGAATACTGGATATTTGTCTTGATTTCTGCATAGGAAGAACTTTACATTTTTCACACTAAAAAGAAACGGTGCAAAATAAAAATTTTAAACAAGTTTAATAAACCTGAATAACAATCCCTTAATTATAGTATATAAAATTGCTGATATTGGCAATTTCTGGTTATGATGACTTTCCTGCTTTAGTTACTTCATTATTGCGGCAGTTTAGTTTAGAGGTTAAGAGCACAGACAGGCACATGGCCTTGGGTTGGAATCCTTATTTGACCACTTACTAGCTGTGTGACCTTCAGCTTTGTTTCCTCATTATAAATAAGGGTAGTTGTGAGGTTTTAATGAATTTATGTGTGCAAAGCGTTGAACATTGCCCTCATGTGTTATGTACTATGTAAAAGGTTATCATTCTCATAGTAAAAGGAAATAGTCGTATGAATTTATTACTCTAGAGTCTGTAGAATTTATTAAAGTCTGAAGATCTAAAAACATTTTAGTTACTTGTTTCAGTCATCTCACAATAAATCTATCATCTGCTAATTTATTTAGCAAATCTGAAAAATTCTCCCTTTATTTTCATAGCTTGTCCACTCACTATTCAAGGAAAGTATCATGCAAGAATAAAATTTAGGAAAAATCATTAGCAAGATAGAGATGAATAGATTCTCCACACAATGAATAATAGATACCAGATTGCATTTGAGAAAAAGACCCCAGGTTTTTTTTTTTATTATTATTTCAGAATATTATGGGGGTGCAAACATTTTGGTTACATATAATGCCTTTGCCTCACCTAAGCCAGGGCTACAAGCGTGCACTTCCCCCATACAGTGTGCTCTGCATCCATTAGTTGTGAGTTTACCCCCCCCCACCAGCCCCCTCCCACCCGAACAGCACCCAGTGAATATTAATACTATGTGAGGACTTTAGTGTTGATCAGTTAGTACCAATTTGATGGGGAGTACATGTGGTGCTTGTTTTTCCATTCTTGTGATACCTCACTTCGAAGGATGGGCTCAAGCTCTATCCAGGATAATGCAAGAGGTGCTAGGTCAACATTTTTTTTTGTGGCTGAGTAGAACTCCATGGTACACATAACCACATTTTATTAATCCACTCATGTATTGATGGGCACTTGGGTTGTTTCCACATCTTTGCTATTGTGAATTGTGCTGCCATAAACATTTGAGTGCAGATGTCTTTATTATAGAATGTCTTTTTTTCCTTTGAAGACCCCAGTTTTTGAGATGCGCTGTGAAGTATTTGATATCTCAGCTGATAGTTGAAGAAAGAGTATCTGTGTTTTGAAATAACCTTAAAATGAGTAACATCCTGGATCTCATTTATTGCAGTGATAGCATATTGAGTAAGAAATATTATTGTTCTTAAAGAATGAAATAAATACATTATATCATAATATGACCTAACTAGCTTGAAATCTGTGTGAAATAACATTTTATAGTGAGAAGCCACTTTCTGTTCTTACAGGAGATGTACAGGTAAAAATATTCTTGCCTTGAATTCTAATTTTGTCTTTAGAGATGCATATTATTTTTACATCTGTACAGCTGATATGTCTCCAAATTGAAGCTTTATTGTCTCTCCGCAGGGACGCCTCTGCACTGCTGGATCCAATGGAGTGCACAGACACAGCAGAAGAGCAGAGAGTACACAGTCCTCCTGCTTCATTAGTGCCAAGAATTCATGTGATTTTAGCCCAGAAGTTGCAACACATCAACCCATTATTGCCTGCTTGCCTTAACAAAGAGGAGAGCAAAACCTGTAAGTGTAAGTGTTAAAGCCTAGTGAACTAGTGACTGTTAGCCTCAGTGTGTGTCTGGAGCTGCCTGTAACGTGTGCTTATAGTGGAGTCAAAAGTCAGGTCCTCATTTGTCAGAATAAATTTTTCCAGTAATCTCTGTTTCTTTGCCCCATTTTCCTCTTAATTGTCTTCACTGAAATTAGGCTACTTGATCTATGTTCAGATTAATTGGGGAGAAAGAAAAAAAAAAAACAACAAAAAAAGAAATTAGGCTGAAAAAAGAGCATACAAAGCTGTCTTACTTTTAAGATTGGCATCATTTATTGATCAATATTTTAAGTCTATACTAGTCATCTACTGAATTGTACTTGGTTCACATTGTTATTTTTTACCACAAGACGCTTGCAAGGAACTGGTGTGTGTATTCTGAATCTGGTCTCCCTTCCTCCTCCAGTTGTTTCAAGTTTCATGTCCGAATTGTCTCCAGTCAGGGCAGAACTGCTTGGGTTCCTCACTCATGCCCTTTTGGGGGACAGTTTGGCTGCTGAATACCTTATATTACATCTCATCTCTACAGTGTAAGTGCTATATTCCTGGTGGGAATTAAGGGAGTTCGATGTGTGTAGAAAGTGGAAAAGAGCAGGAAAATTTGTGATATAAGTTGTATGTTTTAGTTTATTAGGCTTCATCAAGTGGTTTTTATTTGTTCAGTGTAACAAGTGTTAGATCAGATCATAAACAAATTCCTTTTTTCACCTTTTCTCAGTTTCACTTTTGGCATTTTGATTATGTCCCCTTAAACTTTAGAGCCAAAATCGGATAAAGGACCTAGCTGATGAATAAAATGAGCTATTTTTATTCTTTTTGCATTCTGAATTCTCTGTTTATACATCCCAAGGCTTTGCTTCTAAAAACAGTGAACAAGGTACATCACGTGCACATTTAACGTATCCTGTTGACACTAGCACCTCGCCCTCTCACTCCATTGTATTTCTTTGTTTCCTGATTTCAAAACTAATGTACTGCTTTGACAAGTTTCAAGAACATGTAGAAGAAAATAGAAATCGTCTATAATCTCACTACTTAAAGATAATCCCAGTTAACATTTTGGTACACATTCATCTTTGTTTTCTTTCTGTGTACGTAACTGCACAGAGCTCAGTTATACTCTAAGCACAGATCTATATCTTGTTTTTAGCATTTAATATATATTAAACATTTTCCCACCATAACACTTCATGAACTTTGTATTTCATTATATAGTTGTACCATACTATAACCATTTCCCTAGATGTTAAGTTTTCCTAGTTTTTCTCTATTATAAATAACACTGCAGTAACATCTTCCGATGGAATGTTATCTTTCCTCAGATGGGATCGGAGGCAGTAGTGCATAATGGTTGAGAGTACAGATTATGGAACCAAACTACCTGGGTTCAAATCCTATCACTTCCTGGGTAGCAGAACATGTTACGTAAAATCTCTGTGCCTCGGATTTCCCATCTGTAAAATGAAGATAATAGTACCTACCTCAAAATGTTTGGGGATTAATGAGAAAACATTTAAGACTTCAGAACAATCCTTAGCACATGATCAGCACTTATAAATATTGGCTATTATTTGTATTGCTGTTATTCTGATAAATGGTCAGAATGTTCTTTATTTTTAATGATAATATTAAGCTAATTGTATTTGCTTTTCAGTGGAAATCAGGAAATAACTTCAGTATCTTAATGATTTCTTTTTTTTCCCCCCCTAGATATTCAAGAAGAGATGTTCTTCCACTAGGAAAATTTACAGTTAACTTGAGTGGTTGCCCACGGAATAGTACTTTCACAGAACACTTATATCGAATTATTCAACATCTTGTGCCAGCTGTAAGATCAATATAAGTATATATTATAAACCTAAGCACACTTAACACATCCATCTAATTGCCTTTCATTCAACCTAAATGTTTAACTTTGAAATTTTAGTAGATTTCATTTAAGGGGAAACAAAACCTGCCACATTACATAATTTAAAATCTCCTCTCCCCTAAACATTTCACTTTTTAATTGCCTTAACACAAATTTCTGTAAGTCTAACAATTAACACAATTATAATAATTTCTTTAAAATTATACTCTGTTGATGTCAATTTGTTTGCGCAATTTGGTATCCTTTGTGTTAAAATCTTAAATCTAAATAAACTCTAAATTATAGAAGCATTATTCTTTTAGCTGAGGTAATAAAGATCTTTATCTCCATTGCCTCAATTTTGATTCCTGTTTGAAAAGTGAGCTAACTTTATTTGCCAGGCCATCTGGAATACAGTATTTGTGTGGTGGTAAGATCTTAGGAAAAGGGGAATTGCTTCTGATTAGTTGTGTGGCTAAAAATATTGATCACCTCTTTGGAAATTTAAGAGGTTGCATTAGATCATTGAGTGAAATTTTTTGTGTCTCTGAATGCTAGCTCTCTTCCAGGCCCTCGAGAAGCAGCAGTGGAGCAGAGTAGACCAACAGTTCTTACTCTCCTTAGATTTACTTTACACTCTGAAAAAAGTATTGAGGATTCAAAGAGTTATTTTTTTATGTGGGTTATATTTATCATTAATTTACCACATTGGAAATTAAAACAAAATAAAATATTAAAAATAATAAATTGATTACATATAAACATAAACATCTTTACAAAAGCAACTTTTCCAAAATCAAAAGAAATTACTGATAAAAGTGACATTGTTTAACATTTCTGCAAATCTCTTTAATGTCTAGATTAATAGAAGTCGACTGGATTCTCATTTGCTTCTGCATTCAGTCTGTTGTAATATGGTGTTTTGATTGAAGTATATGAAGGAAAGCTGGCCTTACGCAGATGGAAAAATAGTTGGTAAAGGAAAGACTGTTTTAATAACCTTTTCATATAACTCTGGGTATTCCTTTTTGATACTAGACCACATGGCATTTTCTTAAATATAATTGAAGTGTGGAATCTAAAATCTTTTTTTTTTTTTTTTTGGCAGCTGATAGGGTCTCACTCACCCAGGCTGGAGTGCAGTAGTACAATCATAGCTCACTACAGCCTCGAACTCCTGGGCTCAAGTAGTCCTCCTGCTTCAGCCTCCTAAGTAGCTGGAACTATAGGTGTATGCCCTGCTAATTTTTAAAATTTTTATAGAGATGGGATCTTGATGTGTTGCCCAGGCTGTTCTCAAACTCCTGGCCTCAGGTGATCCTCCTCCATCCCCCAGAGTGCTGAGATTACAGGCATGAGCCACCACGCCCAGTCTGAAACTTTTCGTACTCTGCTGTAGTAAAATTCATTGATCTATATTGCACATCGATAGGATCTTTTATCCATGCATGATTTTGACCTGATCAATCCCATAAAAGGGTTGCAGCAATTCCCTGAGGCTTCCTTGGACCACATTTTGAGAATTACTGAAACAGTCAGATCCTATATACTCACAAGAGTTTAAATTTTTGTGGTGGAAGACCAGCAAATAATATATATAGTATGTCATTTAAGTGCCCTGAAGAACAATAAAGCCCCAGGAAGGGGAGAGGAGTGATGACAGTAGGCCCGGGGGCAGCTGCCAGCGTGTATGGTGGAGACAGGGAAGGCCTTGCCAACACGGTGGTATTCAGGAGAGACTTGATGGAAGTACAGAAGCAAGCCAGCCAGATGGCTGCTGGGAAGTGTCTATCCTATGCAGAGAGAACAAATGGAAAGGCACTGAGGCGGCAGTGTGCTTGGCCTGTTTGAGGAGTGCCAGCAGAGAGGCCAGCGTAGCAGGTGTAGGATAAGCACTGGTGAGAATGAGGAAGGTGAGGTCGGAGGAGCAGCCTGGGGCCACTCAATCTGTGAGGCCAAGATTTAAGTAGCACACACATTCTCGGTATATGAATTATATTTTTAAGTGTGAAATGGTTTTCTGAGGGAGGTACTAAAGGTTATAACATGATAAGGTATTTCCTTTTGATTCTGTGTCACTTTGCAGTGAGTTTGTTTACTTTTTTACTGTATCTCATTCCCTTATATCACCCCTGTGTTTATGTCTGGCTAGCACTGTCAACTTTTTCAAAACACTTGCCTCTAATATTTTATTTAGTTTTCACAACAGCACGAGTGACCTGCTTGTGCTTATATGGCAGAGCCGAGGCTAGACCCAACAGGCCCTGCTTCTTTAAGGGCTGTTCATTTGTATCTGTAATGTGGTCTCTTCCCGGGCCCCCTCGACCTCCTGTGTCCACCCCCACCACACGTCCTTTCTCAGCTGGAGTGGTAGGAGAGTGGACTGGCACATGAAGCAGAGTGAAGAGGGTGTTGAGAGCGGCGGGCTCAGGGTGCCAGAGGAGGAGGGTGGCTCTGGGTTGAGTAGATAGTGTGTTGGACTGGATGAGAAGGCGGCACATGGCCTGGTTGGCATAAGTCATGAGAACTGCAGCACCTCACCACAGCTTGGTGTGCTCTGCTCCTTGATTTTTTACTGAAAAGTTTGTTCAAAAAAGTCTGTAGTAGTTTATGATGCATCAATATGCTTTTAACTCAAAGAGCTTAGAGGAAAATTAAACCCTCTCTGTATCTTGATGAATAAAATAAACTTTTTTTTTTTTTTTTTTTTTTTGCTAGCTTGTATTACATAAAAGAAGTTAAGCTTCGGGATATCTGATATTTGTATGTCAGTTGTCTACCATTTGCATCATTGGTGATAAAAATTATTCTTCAAGAATATTGAACAAGACATTTGAGAATAAAGCAGCTCATAGAATAAATGAAATTCTAATGTATGATATAGATATTATTTTTGCTTCCAAGAGTTCAAGAAACCATATCACTGTATCACTACTCCCTTAGAAACTTATAAGATCATTTTTTCCATATAAAGCACAGTGTTTAAATGTATATTTTCTTAAAACAGGGAAACTTAGATCCTTGCTCATTAAAAAATGTTTCTTTGCAGTCTTTTCGTCTACAGATGACTATAGAGAACATGAACCATTTGAAATTCATTCCCCACAAAGACTACACAGCCAATCGCTTGGTCAGTGGACTTCTTCAGCTGCCCAACAATACTTCACTTGTAATTGATGAGACTCTTCTGGAGCAAGGGCAGCTAGACACCCCAGGTAGATACATAGATGTTTCCCTTCCATTTCTAAATTCCCTCCTGCTGAAGCCAGATCTAGTTGTGACTTTTTAGAAGAATGTCTGTGGACAAAGACAAATTCACATTTAACAAATATTTAAGATAAAGGCTTGACATGAATTGGATTAATGCATATATTAAAAACTAAATTGTGCATCACAACTATGTTTTGTCATAGTATTCTAGAAATAGTACTGTAGAACAAATAGCTTTTTAAAGGCTGAAATGGGAGGAAGTTTTGTCTTTAGTCATCTGTTACCTCCGAAGAGAAGTGTAGAAAAGATATATATAATAAAATGTTTTTTATCTCCCATTATGAAGTTTTAAACATTTTTCAGAGAATCACTGAAAAAAATATTTAATAGATCAGATGGTTTGAAATAACCTCAATTATGGTACATGTTATAAAATTACAAGAAAGCAGATGCTTTGTCAAATGAAGAGAATTAAGAAGACACTGCTGGTGATAAATTCAATAGGTAAAGGTAGAAGTAAAAATAATGTAGACTGGGCACATTTGAGGCAAAGGTGGGCATAAAATCGGTAAAGTTCACTAGCCTTATCTATGTATAAAAATAGCTTTAGTCCTACCATATTATTTTAGCCCTGTGAACACACCTAGAAAGTGATCATACTTAGTGGGAACCTATTTTATGTCTGGTTGCATACCAGGTGCTAGGTATTAGATTTTGGGGAATGTTGACCTCAGAAAGTTCTAGCTTAACTAGTACTGTCTGTGAAGACTATTACCTAGTGAACATTTAGCTTAGTGGTTTAGCTTAATAACCTCATATCCTTCATTAAAGCAGTAGAAATCTCATGTCTTATAATCAATGTCAGCGAAACTAATTTGTTTATTAGGTAATTAAAGTCAAATGACTGCAAATTTTCTTTTGTAGGTGTTCACAATGTGACTGCCCTGAGCAACCTGATAACTTGGCAAAAGGTGGATTATGACTTCAGTTACCACCAGATGGAATTCCCCTGCAATATTAATGTTTTTATTACTTCGGAGGGAAGGTCACTCCTCCCGGTATGATGAGTCATTTTTAAATGGAAGGAGGTTGATATTGGAAAGATATCTACATTTATGTTGTTTCTTGGTGCTCCTTATTATTAATAAGTTACAAGTGTTTAAAAAAAATTGTGACTTGACTACCGATTATTAAAGGAGTTGATTATTTTATACTGCCATGGGATGAAAACTCAGCAAATCACTAGACAAGCAAAACTGTTGGCAACAGAAACTCCTGTATCTAAGCATAGAAAGTAGAAGTTGTCTATAAATTGATTAACTTCCAGATTTATATTCTTGTTGCCTTTGACCTGTCGTTTTCTGCCAATCTTATGTGACAGATATTTTAGTTCCTTTTAAAATGTCCCTAATCACTTGGTAATTATTTTTATGCTTTATGGCAATGATAAAGAGAGCTTTTAATTCTGAGGATGATGAGAAATACTCCCAGTTTAAAAGGTGTATAGTTTCTCTGTATAATAGTGTTCACCTATGATTGATGAGAAACATCTATGACTAAGAATGAAATGGCTCATTGGTAAGTTTTCTGTGGGAAAGTGTGATTTTTTTTTTTTTTTTTTGAGACAGAGTCTCACTCTTTTGCCCAGGCTAGAGTGAGTGCTGTGGCATCAGCCTAGCTCACAGCAACCTCAGACTCCTGGGCTCAAGCGATCCTCCTGCCTCAGCCTCCCGAGTAGCTGGGACTACAGGCATGCGCCACCATGCCCGGCTAATTTTTTCTATATGTTTTTAGTTGTCTGATTAATTTCTTTCTATTTTTAGTAGAGACGGGGTCTCGCTCTTGCTCAGGCTGGTTTCAAACTCCTGAGCTCAAACAATCCGCCCGCCTCAGCTTCCCAGAGTACTAGGATTACAGGCGTGAGCCACCACGCCCGGCCGATAAACATTTTAATTAGCTGCTCTTTGGAGGTTGGCTACTTTTTTGGTATGCTTACCGATACTGCTGAGGAAACTTTATAAGTAATCAAGAAAAAGCTGACTTTTGTAATTATTGCTGAGATGTAGTTATAGAGAGCATGTAAATTAATATCATCCTAAGTAATCAGTGCTATTTTATTTTCTAATTTCTTTAGGGGCTGATAGAGATGATGCATCTTCCTAAAAATGTAGATTAATTTAGGAACTTGAAAAATACTGTGTACTGTTTTCTCCTTTCAGGCAGACTGCCAGATTCACTTACAACCCCAGCTAATTCCACCAAACATGGAGGAGTACATGAACAGCCTTCTCTCAGCGGTGCTGCCTTCTGTGCTGAACAAATTCCGCATTTATCTAACCCTTTTGAGATTCCTGGATTATAGCATATCTGATGAAATAACCAAGGTATGTTTGGGTTAGAATAAAGGATTTCCCTGTGTTGAATTGTAGTGTTTAACTAATTTACATTTGCTGTAATTGCTGATGACATAATTTTGCTATTTGTTTTTTATATGTAGTATCTTTTTTGTTTCTCTATTACTTCATTGTCTTTTTTTGTTTGAGATAGATATTTTCTATTGTCCCTTTTGATTCACTTGAAGTTTCCCTTACAATATTTTTAAAGTTACTTTCTTAGTGGTTGCCCTGAGGGCTAAAATTAACATGTTAACTGTAACAATCTGTTACAGATTAATGCCAGTTTAATTACAATATACAAAGACTTTGCTCTTCTGTAAGTCCATTTCTTCTCCTCTCCTTTGTGCTGTTTTTGTCATACAAATTACACCTTTATACATTGTATGCCCATCAACACATTTATAATTATTGTTTTTACAGTTGTCTTAAAATCAGAAAAAAAGAGTTGTAAACAAAAAAGACATTTATACTCTTTTTTTGTATTTATCTATATAGTTACCTTTACCACCTTTACCAGCATTCTTTATGTGGGTTCATGTTTCAGTTTTTATTTATCTGGAATTTCTTAATTTCTCCTTAAAGGCTGGGATGTAGAATTTGTGGTTTATAGTCATCTTCTTATCACTTTGAATATGTCCTCTCACTCCTTTCTGGCCTCTGGTTTCTAATGAGAAATTAGCTAATTTCTGATGAGAGGATTTTTTATACAGAGTCATTTTTCTCTTGATGCTTTCAAGATCTCTCTTTGACTTTTGACAGTTTTGACTGATGCGTTTAGGTATGTATCTCTTTGAATTTATCCTGTATGGAGTTTGTTGAGTTTGGAGGTATAGATTAGTGTACATTTGGGGGGAAGTTTTCAACAAATTTGGGAAGGTTTTGGCCATTGTTGATTTAAATTCTTTCTGCCCATTTCTCTCCTCTCCCTCTGGCGGCACCCCCATGATATGTATGTTGGTGCAGTGGATGGTACCCTACAGGACGTCTGTTCATTTTTTTCTCATTCTTTTTTCTTAATGTTTCACAGACCAGGTAATGTCAGTCAACCTGTCTTCAGGTTTACTCATTTTTTCATCTTCCTGCTCAAACTGCTGAATACCTCTAGTGAATTTTTTTATCAGTTACTGTATTTCTCAACTGCAGCATTTTTTTTTTTTTTTTAAGACAGTCTCACTCTGTTGCCCTGGCTAGAGTGCAGTGGCGTCAGCCTAGCTCACAGCAACCTCAAACTCCTGGGCTCAGGTGATCCTCCTGCCTCAGCCTCCCCAAGTAGCTGGGACTACAGGCATGCGCCACCATGCCCGGCTAATTTTTTCTATTTTTAGTAGAGATGGGGTCTCACTCTTGCTTAAACTGGTCTCGAACTCCTGAGCTCAAGCGATCCTCCCACCTCAGCATCCCAGAGTGCTAAGATGACAGGCGTGAGCCACCACGCCTGGCCTCAACTCCAGAATTTCTATTTGCTTCTTTTAAAAAAGTATTTGTCTTTTTATTGATATTCTCTATTTTGTGACAGATCATTCTCATATTTTCCTTCAGTTCTTTATATGTAGCTTCCTTTAGCTCTTTGAATATATTTAAAAGAGCCAATTTAAAGTCTTTGTCCAGGAAGTCTGATGTTTGGGTTTCCTCAGGGACAGTTTCTTTTGATTCCTTTTTCCCCAAATGGTGGGCCATACCTTCTTGTTTCTTTCTTTGTCTCATCTTTTTGTTTGAAATCAGACATTTTAAGTGTAATATCACAACTCTGCTCTAGAAATCAGATTCTGGACATTAAACCTCCCTAGAGTTTGTTGTTGGTGACTTTTTTGCACTAATTCTATAAAGTCTGCTTTGTTGCATGTGGGCACTGAAGTCTCTGCTGCTAGTTTTGTGGTTAATTATTGGACAAAAATTTCCTTAAATGCCTGCAAGTAGTAAGTCTCCCAGTCTCAGGGTGAGGAGCTCCGCATACATGTTGGTATATGCCTTCAACAGTTAGCCACACAGTTTACAACCCTGCCTTATCCTTCATTTCCTGCTTACACAGAGCCTTGAGGTTATCCAGAGGATGGTAGCTTAAGGTCTCTGAGTACGCGTGTGGCCTTCTAAATTCCTAGAAGGCCTGTGAGGTTTTCAAAGCCCTCTGTGGACATCTCATTCCCCAGCTTTTCTATTTAAGGGTTTTGGTTAACCTGTCATTTGCCACAACTATTATCCAATGTCTGAGACAGCCAAGAGGATCAATAATTTCTTGTGATTATTTTTGGTAAATACCCTGGGGAAAGAGGCTGTTCCTCCTGGGTAGGCTTCAAGTCAGTTTAAATAAAGACAGCTTTGCAAGTGGGTTCTTCCAGGGACCCACTCTGGGAATGGCACTTTGAAGAAGCTCCAGCCCTGTTCTGCCCTTTCTGGAGGTTGCCAGGCTATTGGTTTTCAAGGCTGTCACCCAGTGGGACAGGGGCTGGAACATAGGACTAGGGCAAGGTAAAATGCCACAAAGGTCAACGTTCTTACCAAGAGTCACCTGGTTTTCTTGCACAAATGCTGTCTGGATTGCTGAAGTGTGTGGTTTATTTCCAGACTTTTGAAGAGGTTAGTTTCGATCGGTGTTCTTGTTGCTTTAATGGTGGGGACAATTTTTAGAGGTCCTTGCTCTACCATTTCACTAATATAGCACTCTTCCCTTTGTTGAAAAGCATCATATTTGCTGTGCTAGTTGCTGATTTATATGTTTGTGTGACCTTCTCAAATTAATCTGAGTTTCATTATTTTGTTTAGAATATTTTCATCAATGGCATTACTTCATCAGTATAAAGTTTTGGTTCTCAGTGTTTTCACCCATATTGTCTCCTTTTGTCTAAGGCAAGGCTGACATCCTCATTTTTAAAGCAGTCAAGGGACCATGTTACTGTCCTTAACCTTACACCACCACAAATGTCATTTCTTCTTAAAACTGTTCATTAAGGGGTAGTTTTAAAGTCCATTTACTCTTTTGATAAAGGCAGTTGAGGATGACTTTGTGGAAATGCGTAAGAATGACCCTCAGAGCATCACCGCTGACGATCTCCACCAGCTGCTTGTGGTGGCTCGGTAAGTAGCGCATGTCTGTAATTGCTTTTTCAGTAAGCTGTAAGTCTCCTGATTTATTCAGCATTAACTAAGGCAGACTTCTAAAAACGGAAACGAACTTTTCCTTTTAGTAACTCCATATAAAAGGGCTCATTGAGGGGGCACTGCGTTTGGCTGGTGACCTCTTCAGTGAAAACAGGCATGCTGCTTGTTCTCCAAGTTTCAAAGAGCGAGCCACCCTCCAATTCTGACTCTTAAAAGCTGCCTTTGTAGAAGTATAACTTGGCTGTTGACTTGTGTGTAGCTACCAGATGGTCTTGTCTCCTAACATGGACAGTTACATTTAAAAGTATTCCTGGGTCTTAGAAAAAATTAAAAGCTTACTGTGCTTGCTCCAGACTTAAATTCATTTCTGTATTTCACACCAGGTGTCTGTCTCTCAGTGCTGGTCAGACAACACTGTCAAGGGAACGATGGCTAAGAGCAAAGCAGCTGGAGTCTCTAAGAAGAACCAGGCTTCAGCAGCAAAAGTGTGTGAATGGAAATGAACTTTAAAGATCGGAGGCCTATGAAGAATAATTGTAGTCACATTATTATAAAATTCAAATATCATTTATACCACATTGTTTTATAGATAATTTGTATCACAAACCAATGACTTTTCCTGAAATTAAGCCTGGTAACATCTGAAGTTTATATGATATTCAGTAAGGGCTTTTACCTTACTGGTTTTATGGAGCTTTTCAAGTTTGTTTTATAATTATATAAATTAGTAATGATGTAAAAAAAGTATTTGATATTAAAAGTTTACTGTTGACTAATGCTGATTATACCATTTCCTTAGCTTCAGATAAGTCATAGGCCAGACTCTGTTGAATTGCTGATGTTAATTTCATATGAGAATTGTGTGCTTCATATTTCTGTCTTGCCAATTAACGACGGGGCTGGGTGTGCTCAGTAGTCCAAGTTATGGAAATGGGCTGTGCGTGCCATTGACTCACAGGACCATGGGAAATTCTGGATTGTCATTTCCCAGGCACTTGGCCACAGAAACTTTTTCCCACTTAACAGCCTGCAAAACTAGTCTTTTGCATGGCAGTGGTTCCCAAACTTTTGGAATTCATGGATCAGCAGTAATATTTCCAAAAAGTTTGGGGACTGTAGGGTTACCAATTTATTTTACCAAGTAATCTGAGAGAAAGAACTGCATTATCACTTTTTTTCATAAAAGGACAATCTCAAGATAAACCCCACTACATTATCCTTATTTTTCTCATTACATCCCAGTGCATTTGGGAACCACACTTAAGGGAATGCTGCCCTACAAAATTTTGCCTAAGTATGAAAACAAAATAGTACCTCTTTAGAAAGAATGGTTTTTAATTATCTTCCTAATATTAACATGTCTCATTTACTTTGGTTGATTATATTAGATTTTTAGCTTTTTATGAGTTTATCAGTTCTAGATGTGTTAGATCAACTAATAGTATCTGCTACTCCAGTAAAAGCCTGATACAACTGCAGGTAGATTTTCCCCAGACCAATTAGTTTTAATATCCAACTTTTAAAGGAACAAAAATATCAAATTACTATAAGTAACATAATCGTGGCAACAAGGATCTTCAGAAAGGTTAGAATGTTACTTTAAGCTATGAATGGTATGTATAAAGATTAATTTCTTCTAGTAAGTAACTTACCTAGTTGGAAACAGATCAATTAAATGATTCCTTAAAATTTTTCCTGTAAGGCCTAAACTGACATTGTTAACCAAGGAAACAGGGTCAGCCTTGAAAAATCAAGGAATTCATGCCTAATGAACTGAAGTAAAAATTACTAGTTCAATATTAACTTTTCCTAAATTCAAATCTATTTTTATAAACTAATGTAAATAATGTTTATATTAGAATTCTAACTGGTTTTCATTTTTATAACTGGTAGACTAGATCTTCCTTAAACTTTTAGAAATAAAATGAAAGCTTAACTGGATTTGTGAAAATGAAATACATTTTCTTTAATTGTCCTAGAACAAAGTAGATTAGTTACCATGTGTTTATTGTGCCAATGTAAATTGTAATTCACCAAAGAGAAATACATAATTTGCTTGGTCTTGGAGAAAAGTTCCCTTGAAAGAACCCTCTTTCCAATAAATAAAACTTCCCAAATTACCAGTACCTTGGGCTCGTCTTCATGAACTGTAAGATTCAGCATCCCATGTAATCTTGTGTGAAAAAAGATCGTGTCCTCTTGGTGGAAAAACCTGACAGAGCTAAATAAAGTGTGCAAGGAGATGCCCTCCTACTCAAGGCCCACCCAGGCAGCGCAGTGCAACTCTCCACTGCGGAGCCCTTTTCTCCCTTGCCTATACATGTGGACAGTCAGGTTTGTTGCTGTGATTTAAGGCAAGATGTCAGTCCCATGTAACCAGGAAACTGAACAAACATGTATATAACCGTTTGGAACTAAACACTGCCTTAAGGTAATTTTAGTTTTGAAAAATCTCTTTGGAACTAATTTTGGTGGAGCTTAAACATGCATATTTTATCACTTAACCTTGGCTGTTACTTTCTTTGTTGGGAATACTCAGTGTTTTCAAGACCCAGAAGAAAAGTTGGTAGCAACAGAATAAAGCATTCAGTTTAGAGTGTTTTGGTTTTAAAATAGTTTATGATCCATGTCATTTTTGGGATGAGAATACTTCAAAGGAGTAAAATACTTGGAACAGCTCAGACCAAGTGTTGAGTTATGACAAATTTACCATTTATGAATTCTTTGATTTAAAATCAAACCCGCATCTTTAAAATGTTATGCAAGGCATTCCAACACACACTTTAAATTACAATGGTACTTTAATAGTCACAAGATTTGACACTTCGAAAAAAAGACACCACTAATAAATAACAAAAGTGGAATGCTTATCAAAGTTACAACAGACATAATGTTCAGCTGAGAATCACTTCAACAAAGTAAGGCTCTAAAGACACCAGACAGACGATACTTGTTGAAATACTCCAACTTTCCTACTACGTGGTTTACAGAGGCGGCCCTGGTTCTGTGTGGTCAGGGTTATAGTCATAAAACCGGTTTCAGCACAGTTACGCTCCAGACTAAATTTTCGGTAGTTGTAGAATCTGTAGACAGTATGTTGAGGAAGGCCCCATTGGAAAAAGTTAAAACTTTTAAGACTTCCTTCTAGAATTTCCAGTAGCCAATATATGTATATTCTTATATTTCTAAAAACAGCAAAATGGAATTTAATAGATGCTAGTATTCATATTTGACCTATCAGATTTATGACAAGTCTTAATGCTCCTAGATTTTTGGGCATATAGGCAGCAGAATATTTAAATTTGTAAAAGGTAGAATATGGGGAAAATTAGGATCAAATGAAAATACATTTCTTGACTTTAGTGTCAACCCTCAATCAACTCACAGGGAATGGTTAAGCCATCAAAACAAAAATAGCTTTTTATATTCAAATGCTTCTCCATACTAGTTAACACTTTAAAGTCACGAAAAAAGTGTACAATTTACCTTGTACAGGTAAGACACAGGAATGAATAAACAGAACAAATTATGAAAAACACAATTCCCTTAAGTCTGTCCATGTCCATCCTTCACGTGTCTACTTTACATACACTCCACCCACCCCACTCCAACAAAGGTTCAGGTGATATCCCAAAGTGACCTGTTCCTGAATTACTTTCAAGTGAGCAAAGTGCTCTGTAGTGTATAAGCTACTCAGGTCTACCGATGCTAGGGTGATGCACTTCTGTAGTCCTCGCTCTCAAATTTGGAAATCTGCTCAGGTTCAAACACCTTTTAAAACCCTTCCCAAAAAAACAAATTTGTGACCCCTAAGATTCAGACAGTACAAGTTTAAATACCCTAATATGTGAAAACTTTTCGAATTTTTAAATAAAAACCATGAAAGGATTCTTTGTGGCTAAAAACTAAATCTGAATTATACGTGTCTGGCATTGTATAAACATATTTTTAAGTTCATTTTGCTGGACTTCATTAACCACTTCAGATTCTGCAGGACTCTTTTGAACTTTTGCCACTGCAAAGTTTATCCCATGGGTTAATCCAGCTTGGGTAATATTAGCAACCTGGACCATGGAACTTCGAATCTTTGCAAAGGGAGAGACTGCTCTGCTACTGCTCTCTGAAGGAGGAGTTACATGAAGCCCTGTCTCAAGTTCAAGCATACTGGAACCGGAGCTGGGGGTCTTTTGAGATATGACTGAATGTACTGGTTCAACTGACAAAAACTGTGGACCTGTTGCAGAAGACGACACATCTAATTGAGATGGTCGGGAAGGTATCTGTTCCGTTGATTCAGATTTTGTTTCTTCATTGGAAACTTGATTGGTCATTTGATTTCCTTCCTCACTAGCCTGCTGAGACACAGATCTGGTCTCTGATAGCTGGGTCATTTTGTTTTGTGCATCTTGCACAAATCTGTGGCAGTAAATATCCACAGGCTTGGCAAAGCTAGTCAATATGTGTATGTTGTCAGCAGAAGGACTTTTCATCAAAGGAGACTCCTGGCCTTTTCCAAGCCCACTCCCATGAGGAACAGTAATCTCTGAAGGAGCATGGATGCTAATATCATTGCTGCTAATAGACTGGGATCGACTGCCTAATCGAGGTGCTGAAGCAATAATACCACAGCTAGGAAGAACATAATCTATCGGGCCCACACTTTCTAAAGAATTAGCTAGCTGCCTGTCTTCATCAGACTTGGAATTTGTAAGGAATTCATCAGAGTGGTATGAGTCATTATCTGAAGATACGTCCCCATCAGACTCTGCCTGGACCTTATTATCCATCACTCCTGTGTTTTCCACGGTTTCGAGACTATTATCTGATTTCCAAAGATTTACTTTTAAGTTTGGTTTTAGAAAGTTAACTTTCATTTCAGGTTTTGTAAAGTTTCCTAGCTTTCGCAGGTTGCCAATATTTACATTGGATTTGGTTTGCTTCACTTTTTGATTTAGAGATGAAAATTTGCTCATTAAAAATTTTTTTCCCTGGGCCAAAGAGCCTTGGTTTTGAGATCTGATACCAATGATGTCTTCGTGAGGTTTACTGCTCTTCCTACAAATTAGAATAGAAAAATAGTTAATTCCCCATGAAATCCAATATACCAGTTCCAATTATTAATATAAGTGAAAACACTTTGCTTATTTCAAGAAATTGGTTCTAATTTGTTGAAAACAATGCATTGCTAATTGATAAACAATGAATATTCACACCTTTTAAATTGGATTCTCAATTTTGGGATGCTGTTCTCAGGAAATTATCCTAAACACGAAAAAATACATGACAAAGATATCTGTCATGACTTTTTTATAAAAGGAAGAAAAGCCTGCAGCAACCAAAATTTTTAGCAACTGGGTTTAACAGCTGTGTGCCAGGTGTTACTCTAAGTGCATTCTCATTCAATCCATGCAACTGTGACACAGATTTTATTACCTTATCTTACAAAGTTGAAGTAAAGGAATACTAAGTATCTCTCCCAAGGTTGAAGGGTAAATGACAGAAACAGGAGTAAAAAAAAAGTCTGGCCAATCAGAGTCCATGTTCTGAATCCACACAGTATATTTGCAAACAGATCACAGTAGGCAGCTGTTAAAATGATAGTTATGAATTCTATAGTAATATGGAAAATGCATACAATTATAATGTTTAGCAATAAAAGATTATATATATAAAAGGTTTAACCTGTACAGGTTGCAAATGTATACAAGAAAAAGAACTGAGAAAAAACTACATCAAAGTGATAGCAACCATGGAATGGCATCTTAAATGAGTTACCTGTAAACTCGTCATCTATGGCAAACAAAGTACACTCAAAATTAACCTTGTAAACCCACTCGTGTATACGTGGTATTTATACTGTACAATTCATTAGGTCCTGTATAGCCAGTTTTTATTCCAAAATTGGAACAGATAATTTTTTTGGAGCAGTAGATGAAATAGTTTATACTTAGAGGTCTTGTTATTAAAAAAATAAATTGGAAGGGAAAGAGCAAATGTATTTTTATGTATTACTATGTATTATATAACTACACAATAGTGGCTGCGTTACAGTAATTTGTGTGAATTTTATATAGCTCAAAATTTTTCCATAATATAGTTGTTTAAAAATTACATTCAAAAAATTAAGTTGTCTGTGATCAATTTTCATATAAGCCAATATTACTGAAGCATGAGTCATGTAGCCAACCAGGGAATAAAAATAATAAAGGTCAAAAATCCCTCCAAAGGGGTTACAGATTTTGGAAGACACTTCTACAATTAGGCATGTTAAAACTTTCCACTCTACTGATTCAAACCTCCCTTATAGAAGAATTCTAATTAACAAGTGTAGAAGGAATAAGGGAATTAGAAAAACCACCATCAGATCACCGTAGGAATAATTACTTCAGACAAGATCCACTGACTAGTGCTTATGAAAATGAGTAGGTTTAAGCAGAAACAATATTTGCATAATCTCAAAGGATCTCCCCCCAAATAGTAATTGTAAAGGGGAAAACAGTAAGTTTACAGTGGAAAATCCCAGCAGACACCACCTTGGCCAAGTCATCAAGGTTAACGTCAACAGTAAGACATGGATGTCACGTCTTCCCCTCCCTGCAACACGATGCACTGAACAGTGCACGTTACTTCCGTGGTGTCCTCAATAAGGCATAACTTCAGCATAATCATGAAAAAACACACCTAAACACCCTAAATTGAGGGATGTTCTACAAAATAACTGGCCAGTACCCTTCAAAAGTGTCAAAGTTATAACAGACAAGGGAAGACTGAAGAACTAACAATAGATTAAACGAACCTATGGAGACAACTAAATGCAATGTGGGATCCTGGAAGGGAAAAAGGGACATGAGTGGAAAAACTGGCGAAATCCTAATAAGTTCTGTACTTTGGTTAATAGAGTCGTGCCAAGGTTAATTTCTTAGTTTTGATAAATGTCCTATGATTATGTAAGATGGTAACATAAAGGAAAGCTGAATGAAGGGTAAACGGAAACACTCTGAACTATCTGTGCAACTCTTCTGTAAGTCTAAAAATTATCTGAAAATCATGGAGATACAGAATTTAAACAAACAGTGTTATTTTTTGATCCAAACATATTTGATACTTACCTCGCTAAATACCAACACATTACCCTAATGTGATCCCCTCCAACGCCCTGCTGCAAATACTTTTAAAGAAATAAGACCTTGAATAATAACGTCTTTATTTTGGGGGGACAAAAATCCCAAAGAAAATCTTGAGAGAAGTAGTGTACTCACCTCTCAAGTTTTTTCTCAATTATAGGTACATCCAATCCCATGGCTTGCTTGGTGATCTGCAACATCTCTGCAATGCACTGAAGGGTATCTGAAATCCAGAGATAACTGTTTGCCAATTTCTCCAAAAACATACTAAAAAAAATAGCAGTTCTAACTCATACAACCTTGAATGAAATTTGTGGTTGTACAATACAAATTTACTTGCTACAATTTATAGAAAACTACTGCCTGTTCACTAATCCCCCAACTAATTCAAAACGTTCTAAAACAAATTTTAGCAGAAAAGCAAAGAACAAAAGAACTAAATCAACTGGAATTAAAAGTGTGTTTGCACTGTGCTAGATGCCAAAGCAAGAGCTATAAACAAGACAGGCATGGTCCTGACTTCTACCCACAAGAGAAGCATGAAGTAGGAAAAGCCCTGGGACCTACATGGCTTCTGATGAGGCCAAACACACTGAGAATCCCCACTATAGAGTCCCTTGCCAAAAACCACATAATCCATTCAAATAATCTCCCTGCACTGCTGGGAACAGTTGCTATTTCACCGTCTCACATCCCAAAGCTATTCTCTGGTCCGTTCTCGCTCCAGTTGGTTACAGTATAAAACATCCCCAGTTCTATTTGGGCTGGTAAGAATAGATACAAAGTTATCACTGAATACTTTCATCTTTTCCTCTTTTTACCTTTTCCATCCTCTTCTGGATTTCGCATTACAGCTCTCAGTGTGTGGAAATAACCACTTGCTTCTTTGTATCTGTAGTGCAATCGCATGCAGGAGAACTTTGGCTTACCAAAAAGAGTGGGTTCGGGACCTAAAAACCCAAATGAATGTGTGTAGTTATATCGTTCACATAACATTTGCTTTCTTGTGTATCTTCAAAAGACCAACACACATTCATCAATTAAGTATTTAATCCATTTTTCTTCATAATCTAAATGAGAGCACAAAAAATATGAGCTTATCATGATCATTTGGTTTGAAGAGGCTATAAAAACTGTTTCAATTATTTAAACTAATCTTCACAAGGTAAATAATAAAAGGAATACAGTTATTATCACTAGACAATACATCTGTCACTAATCTCTAAAAATAGAAAGGAAGTCCTAAGAAATAGATGGCTTGGAATATCCCTTTCTGGTTTCTAACAGATGTTATATCAGTTGCTTAAATAATCTGAGCCACTCCCAGAAGCAACACCATTTGCTTTCTATGACACTTTGTTAGTATGTTAAAATTTACCTATTTCGATTTTTTCCAGGTCTTCTAGACTTAGTCGTTGATATTGGTTTACTTTATCAACTTCGTCATCATAACTAGATAAATGGAAAAGTAAAAAGAGGGTTAAAATCAAAAAGCATGTTTGGCTTGGCGCCCGAGGCATGATACTAGCAAACTATTGCATGCAGTTAAGATAACAATCCCCCACAGCACAATACATGCCTGTTGACGAGTTCAACATAAGAACTATTTTATAAACTTGATTAAACAAGAATAACATATATAGTTCAAAACGGCTAAAGAAAAATCAGTTTGTAGATCTTACAGTAAAAAAATCAATTACAAGGTAAAAATAATTTCAGTTTTATAAAAACTTGTATAAAATGAAAAGGAACCTAAAATCTAATCTAAAAGGCAAAACACACACACACACACACACACACACACACACACACACACACACCCCTATGTATTTGGGAATAATACAGCAGATAAATTTGATATTCAAAATCAAGAATGAAAAATCCACGTGATCTATGCCAACAGGCATCTGGGCCGATGATTCAAAAATGACAGTTCATACAAAACCAAAATAAAGTGAACATTTACTTAGAAAATATAATTTAAAATTCAATTCTGGCATAAGGTATGAGGAAACAAGTACTTGTATTTTGCTAGTGGCATTGTTAATCAGTCTTTCTGGAGATAAATCTGACAAATCACCAAAGTCATATAATTCATCATACCCTTGTAACCAAAGAGAAGCACACATGCGTATGCACACACACACACACGTTATCTGCATAAAGATAGCTGCATCATTCATAATAACAAAAAATTGGAAGTAATTCAATACCTAACACAATGGGAAAATACATTATAATAATACAAACAATGATATATGGCCATTAATGATAAAAATCTATGGAGTACATCAAAACCAGGAGATATATAGGAAATAATACTAAATGCTAAAAGAACACAATATTATACAAACATTGATTTTAACTTTAAAATCATTTTCAAACCATAAAAGGAGGTCAGAATGATGTTAACAGTTATAAAAAGGTAAAGGGGTTCAATGAGGTTTCATAAATTATACAATAAAACCAGATTCTTACATTTTTTGTAATAAATTCTAAGAAGGAAATTTACTCAAGTTTAAAAAAATCAAAAGCTTTAAAAATCAATAAGCAACTTACTAGGCCACGTAGTAGGCAGAGTTAGAAAGCAGTAACAGCACATCCACATCTCTGTGAGTAGCATCAATGAGGCTAAACAAACATGACACAGGGAATTAAATATTTTCATTTTCTCTGCATTTTTTGCCAAGAATATTTCTACAGCGGAACCACTTAGGACAAAAGATTGGCCACGGGAAAAAAAAAGAAAATCAAATAAATCATCAATGAGTTCTATTTCTGAAGTTAAACATAATACAATCTATCCATTTGAAAAATCTTTTAAAAAACAACAAAAACCAGCTTTGGGAAGTGGGGGAGGAGGAAGGAAAGGCGGGAGCTGAAGGGGAGGTAGGTAGCCAAAGGAGAGAGGGCTCAGGAGAAACAGGATAATGTGGGACGGGGACTGGAGAGAGTCAGTTATTGGGAAGAAAGGAAAATTACTGGGAAGAAAGGGAAACGTGAGACTGAGAAGGCATTATCTATTCTTAAAAATAACAGACCACATACTTAGGATATTTTTACACTCACGTAGTATCCATCTTTTGAAAGAATTTTACATAAGAATGACATTTATGTGCAAAAATGGAATGAGTCCAAGCTACTTTTGCATTTTTCTCACTACAGATTAATTTACTTGGCTTTCAAGGAACAAGTAAACATTTTCTTACTCTAAGTCCACCTTACCATGTCTATACCCACTCTAAAGTCAAAGATCAAATCGAGACTTCAAAACTAGATTGAGTGCTGACGAACCATTAAACCAAATCTACAGTAAATGTACATCCCTGTAAAATTACTAGTAAGAAAACAGTCGATGTATAAAATCTACAAATAATCAACAAATAAAACAGGCAGAATTTGAATTAAAATGAAACTTTTAAGATTAATCTAATATTAATAACAGCTTCTTTCTGTTAAAAGGTAGAGATTAATCTGCATTCTTATACTGGTCTCCAAACACCACTGTAAGAACCACCAATATTTCTGCCTGAGGATTTCATACCTATTGCCTAGACCTTATCAAAATGCTACTGAAAAACAGATGATAGTGAAAAAAATCATTTGTAGATGAAACTTAAACCACATACTTAATCTGCGTAAGAATGAGGTCATTGTTTAACGGGTACTGCAGGGAAGGATTTACCAAAATCTTAAACTGCAGTTTTCTACATCAGTGGCACCTTGTTGCAGCTTAAGTCTAACAGAATCTTAATCTAAGATAACAAATTCACCTCAATTTTCGTGTAAAATAATATACCGAAAAATACAATGAATGAGATAATGATATGCCAAAACCCGGTAACACACAGATGGATTCTAGGAGCCAAAATTTGAGCACCAACCAATTAATCAAGGGGAAAAAGAAAACTGTAAATTCAGTGATCCCAGCAGCTTCACCAAGAACACCGTAAAACGAAATTTAGTTTTGCGCATTGATACTTACATGCACTCTAAAAATTGTTGCTTGAGCCAAGTCATAAAAATTACGCCACGACACATGTTTTACTATTAAATAAATTCTATTGCTACTAATTACAGTATCACTTTCATCCTAGTTTCCTATTTTGGCATTAATATTTACATCAGCTAAACATGATAGTCAAAAACATTACGTCCTTAACGAAAAGCACTGGGCACATAACAGGCAGTCGAAAAATGCCAGCCCTCCCACCCCCCCCATTTTTAGTCTTAACTACAGTAAATACTTAATTCCCGTCCCCAACCACCCTTCCCCTTGGAAAAAAAAAAAAGCATGCTTAATACGAGCAAGAATAAGAAAAAAACCCTTTAGTTACTCCCCCCTCCCACCCACCCAGGTTTGCAGCTTTGTAGGAAAGCTGCTCTATTCGTTTTTGTTTTCCCGCCACTGAGGCAAGCCCTCCTTCCACACTATGAAGACAAAAATTGCTAGCACCACATGCAGCCCGACCACTGCGACAACAGTCGCGTAAAAGGCGCTGTCTTCAGGGGACATTAACATCAGACTTTGGAAAAGAAGTAGTTTGCAGGAAAAATATAACCCGACAGGAACTTTAACCATTAGTCCTGCAAAAAGGAGAAAAATCTTGAAAGTCATGGCCAGGACACTGTCTGACTTGGGCTCAGCAACAGCCCGCTGCGCGTTAGGCGGTCTGTGGGAGCGCGGCATGGTCCGTCAGTCCCTGTTCACGCCACGAAGCTCTAACTCATCACACAGCTGCGGTCACCCAACCTCACGGCTGCAAGCGAATGCTTAGAACGGCGCAACCGCGATGCGGGCTCGGCAAGTCACGCCCAGGGGACGACTCTAGCTTCCGGCCCCCACTTCCGGCTGCGGCTGGCAGCCATTGCGCACGCGCATCGTGTCATATACGCGCATCGGGTCCTGCGCGCGTCCCACGCGCTCCATGGAGGGCACGGACCCCGACCCAGCAGGGGAGGGGGCCTCCAGGTGGCCGGCTCCACGAGAATTTGTTCGCACCTTTGCCTTTACACAGGACTGTGTTCCCGCCTTGAGGGGACGCTGGGAGTCAGGGTACTCTGGAGGGCTAGCGCAGCAGAGCATCCATCCCCTGCACCACACCACATGCTTAAGGGACAGTAGCTGCTAAGGCCTTGACCACTCAGCTACCGTGGGTCGAAAGGGGCATCTGACTTAAGGGGATGAAAGGTTGCACGGAGCTGGCGAAGCCAGTTGGCTTTGTGGAGATGCTACCCGGGTACCGGCGGTGCCCGAGTCCCTTGCAATTCCAGACTCCTCTTCCCCGCTGTCAATAAAGTCAGAGGTTTTCCTGCGATAACTGGGGGCGGGAGGGCAGGAGACCGGGAAGGACAAGAATGGTGGGTCACACCTGGGCTTGCCGGCGTCCAGCCCAGACCCGCACTCGACGACTGGAAGCACACGCCGGGCGAGGGCGGCAGTGATAAGGAAACCCCCACTGTTACTTGGCACATCAGCCACCTGAGACCCCCACCCCTCACGGAAGACCCGCATCAGCATAATACTAACCTATTACCTGGTGGGTATTAAGACTCTAACACTTGCTGTAATAGTTTGGTTCCCTAACGGGGAAAACCCACCGCGTTGGCCCCTTGAAGCTCCCGGTTCGGGGGACGGGCGCAGCGACTGGCCAGACTTCAGCGACAGAAGTGAACCGGCGCCAACCGCCATTTTACGGAATATCTTTACTCCTCGGGAGTTCCCGCCAGCCACGGGGTCCCGTACTCGCCCGGACACGCCGGAGGGAAGGAAAAGTCAAATCAGGTCTGGAGGCATCAGACCAGGTCCGGGCCCCCGGACCATGACTGCACCAGGGCGGTACAGGAGGTCTATGCCAGCCGGCCAGATCTGAAAGATAGTCCTCTACTGGCACCGGACTTAGAACTCTACACGGATGGCAGTTTTATCCAGAATGGGAAACTACTGGCGGCTTCACAGTCGCCACAGTCATGAGGTCATCATGTCAGCTCCTTTGCCCCAAGGTTGGTTGGCACAAAGGGGGAGCTATGGGCCCTCATCCAAGCCCTCAGGCATGCCTGGGGTAAGAAAGCGCACATATACACGGACTCTAAATATGCCTTTGCCGCACTACATATCCACGGGGCAATATACAGGGAGAGGGGACTGCTGACTGCAGGAGGAAAGGAGATCAAAAACAGGGATGAGGCCTGTGTCATCTGCCATTTTGTGCGAAGCAAGGTGGCTTCCACGTTCCCTGAGCGTCTTCTTTGCTTCTGCCTCAATGGCCCCTTGACCACAGACATGACTCCGGATCGGTTCCGGAGTTGCGGCGATGGCGGCTTCCACCGGCGCGGAGGAGGCGGTGGCCGCGGAGGCCTCCACGACTTCCGCTCACCGCCGCCCGGCATGGGCCTCGGTCAGAACTGCGGCCCCACGGGTCCCGGCCCCGGCCAGGGCAGCCCTAAGCCTCTGATCCTGCCACCGCCTCCACACCATCAGCAGCAGCAGCCACCACGGCAGCCACCACACCCACAGCCGCATCAGCAGCCACCGGAAGCACCCAAGCCCGTCGTTCCTCAGGCACCGGCCCCGCTGTCGGCCTCCAGCTCTGCCCCGCCTGCCACTCTCCCGACCTCCGGGGCCCCTCCAGGGCCGGGCCCCACCCTGACCCCGCCGCCTGCCATCACCTCTGATCCCCTCCGGCGCCTCTACCGGCTCCACCAAGCAGCAGGGGCCCGAACACTCCCCCTCAGGCGGGGAGTCGCGGGGTGGGGGGCGCATGCTGCCTCCACCTGCAGGGGGCCCGGGTCCCCGGCCCGGGCGGCGACAAAATGCCTGGCGGGCCGGGCCTGAGCACGCCTGGCTGCCACCCCAAGCCGCCGCCTCGCCCCGTGGGGAGCCGCCAGTATCACCCGCCCTATCACCAGCAGCACCACCAGGGGCCCCCGCCCGGCGGGCCCGGCGAGAAGATCTCGGACTTGCAGGGGTTTAAAGCCAACTTGTCTCCCTTGAGGAGGCCTGGAGAGAAAACTTACACACAGCGCTGTCGTTGGCTTGTTGGGAATCTACCGGCTGGTATCACAGAGGATGAATTCAAAAGACTATTCGCTAAATATGGAGAACCAGGGGAAGTATTTATCAACAAAGGCAAAGGATTTGGATTTATTAAACTTGAGTCTAGGGCCTTGGCAGAAATTGCCAAAGCTGAACTTGATGATACACCCATGAGAGGTAGACAGCTTCGGCTTGGATTTGCCACACATGCTGCTGCCCTTTCTGTTCGTAATCTTTCACCTTACGTTTCCAACGAACTGTTGGAAGAAGCTTTTAGCCTGTTTGGTCCTATTGAAAGGGCTGTTGTAATCGTGGATGATCGTGGAAGATCTACAGGGAAAGGCATTGTTGAATTTGCCTCTCAACCAGCAACAAGAAAAGTATTTGAATGATGCAGTGAAGGTGTTTTCTTACTGACAACAACTCCCCGTCCAGTTATTGTGGAACCACTTGAACGATCAGATGATGAAGATGGTCTTCCTGAAAAACTTGCACAGAAGAATCCAATATATCAAAAGGAGAGAGAAACTCATCGTTTTGCCCAGCATGGCACATTTGAGTATGAATATTCTCAGCGATGGAAGTCCTTGGATGAAATGAAAAAACAGCAAAGGGAACAAGTTGAAAAAAACATGAAAGATGCAAAAGACAAATTGGAAAGTGAAATGGAAGATGCTTATCATGAACATCAGACAAATCTTTTGCGCCAAGATCTCATGAGACGACAGGAAGAGTTAAGACACATGGAAGAACTTCACAATCAAGAAATGCAGAACGTAAAGAAATGCAATTGAGGCAAGAAGAGGAACGATGTAGAAGGGAAGAAGAGATGATGATTCGTCAACGTGAGATGGAAGAACAAATGAGGCGCCAAAGAGAGGAAAGTTACAGCTGATTGGGTTACATGGATCCAAGAGAAAGAGACGTGAGAATGGGTGGCGGAGGAGCAGAACATGGGAGATCCCTGTGATTCAGGAGGCCAGAAATTTCCACCTCGAGGTGGTGGTGGTGGCAGCATAGGTTATGAAGCTAATCCTGGAGTTCCACCAGCAACCATGAGTGGTTCCATGATGGGAAGCGACGTGCGTGCTGAGCGCTTTGGGCAGGAAGGTGTAGGGCCTGTGGGTGAACAGGGTCCTAGAGGAATGGGGCCTGGAACCCCAGCAGGATATGGTAGAGGGAGAGAAGAGTACAAAGGCCCAAACAAAAAAACCCCGATTTTAGATGTGGTATCTAGGCTTTCATTCCAGTTTGTTTTCGTCTTTTCTTGTTTAGATACCAATCTTTTAAATTCTTGCATTTTAATGAGAAAGCTACCTTTTTATGGATGTTAGCAGTTTATTGACCTAATATTTGTAAATGGTCTGTTTGGGCAGGTAAAATTATGTAATGCAGTGTTTGAAACAGGAGCATTTTTTTTTCCTTTTTATTTCCTTTTTTTTTTTAACTGTATAATGTCCCTCAAGTTATGGCAGTGTACCTTGTGCCACTGAATTTCCAAAGTGTACCAATTTTTTTTTACTGTGCTTCAAATAACTGGAAAAGATAGTTATAATATTGATCTTCAACTTTGCATTCATGCTTCTATGCACATTAGGCTAGGTATTCCACTTTGAAAGCATGAGAATGTCTAGGCCTTTGAATGGCATATGCCATTTCTGGGAAATGTATCTGGAGGCTAAATACTGCTTTCTACAAATAAGTACCCCGCCCCCTTGTTTTAAAAAGACATGCATATTGAAGTAGTTTCATGATTTGTTTGGCATTATAGGAAGCAAGCTTGTGCTAAGTATTTTTAAATGGTTATATAAGCAAAGCTGAACTATACCTCTTCATTCAGGAATATGTATTAAGATTATGGAATAGGTGTAAGACTATTGTAGGGGGTGAAAGAAGGTTTGGTTAAATAGATATTTTATGGCCCTAGGATCTATCCTTTCCTTGAAAATTTCTGAAACGTGGAAAGATCATTTTGTTGCATTTCCCCATTTCTTGTTTTTAAAAAAAGAACAAATCCCAAGCCCTACAAATGGCTTGTATGAACTTTTACATTTGAATTCAAGATTGTTAAACATGAAAAAAAAAAAAAATAGGGATGAAATCCTCCAACTGCTGGAGGCAGTTTGGGAGCCAAAAGAAATTGCAGTCATCCACTGCCGAGGGCACCAAAAAGACACAGATCCAATCGCCACTGGCAATTGCCTGGCAGACCAAGCAGCCAAAATTGCAGCCACCCAAGAATGTTCAGAGGACAACACTCCAACCCGATGCCAAATCTTGTTGGCACCTGAGTGGCCCGAAGAACCAAAATATACCCCAGAAGAGAGCCAGTGGACAGAGCAGGAGAAGGCCAAGAAGGACTCAGATGGTTGGTAGCACCTACGGAACCGTAACATCTTTATCCCCAATAAATTAGCATGCTCTATTGTCTCCCAACACCACAACCTGACTCACTTAGGGAAAACAGCCCTCGCACAGCTACTCGCCCAGTACTACCACATCGCCAAACTTCCGTCCATCGCTGCAGCAGTCAGCGCCCGCTGCCAGACCTGTGCTAAAAACAATGCAGCGGTGAGACCTAGACCCGCCCCAGGAATTCAGCACACCGGAACCTCTCTGTTCGAGGATGTGGAAGTTGATTTCACAGAAGCAAAACCATGTCGGGGCTATAAATACCTGCTGGTAGTGATATGCACCTTCTCAGGCTGGGTCGAGGCAGTCCCTACCTGGACCAAAAAGAATAGGGAAGTGGCAAAGCTTCTACTGAGAGAAATCATCCCCAGGTACGGTCTGCCACTCTCCTTTGGCAGTGACAACGGACCAAGCTTCACTGCGGAGGTCACGCAAACCCTCGCCAAGGCACTAGGAATCAAATGGAAACTACATACAGCCTACAGGCCACGGAGCTCAGGGAAAGTAGAGTGCATGAACCAGACCCTCAAGACCAGTCCTAGCAAAGATGTCAGGAAACACAATTACCCTGAGTAGACATGCTAAGCCTAGCCCTGTTCAGAGTCAGGTGCACACCAGGGCCCACGGGATATTCACCCTTTGAAATCCTGTTCGGTAGACCTCCCCCACTCACCAAGCGATTAAGGGAAGACATTAGACAACTAGGGGAATTGAATATAAACACACGCCTCCAAGCCTTAGCCAAAACTATGTGCCATATCCACCACACTGTCCTAGAAAAAACTCTTATCACCCTGGGTCTCCCTGTCCACCCCCACCAACCTGGGGATCTAGTCTGGGTAAAGGACTGGAAAAGAACAGCCCTAGAGCCCACCTGGAAGGGTCCCCATACTGTGATATTAGTTACTCCCACTGCTGTTAAAGTTGCAGGTATCACTCCGTGGATCCATCACTCCCGGGTGAAAAAGACTGAACCAGACAATGAAACTGATCTCTGGACTGCACATCAGGACCAGCAGAACCCACTAAAGTTCCAGCTTAGCTGTCTCCCAACGAGGACAGCCACACCCAGGACTAAACAGGAGTAAATGGGACCACTGGCCCTGGCCCTCATTGGGGTTGTAGTGACTTTACTGGGGATTGGACTCTCCGCGGTAGCTCCGGGAGACTGGACAGGACTGCAGAGGGCGTCTCTAACTGTGGTACTTTGGCTCATTATAGGATGTCTACTCCTGCCTCAGTCCCTACCCTCCTCCTGGTTGGGGCACTCGCCCTAACAACTATGGCAGAGAAACCCTGCCCTGAGGCTTGTTATGCTAGGACTTGGATTCCTTCCACTAATGGGATTACTCGAGGCTTCTGGACCACAGGAGGTTTCACATTCCACACCTACATGCCAAAGACATGTTATAGTCAGGCTGAAGTGTGCCACAGCGGGGGAAAGAAATACTGGACTGGCACCATTATAGGTGATATTCGAACCTGTATAGCCCCAAGAGACAAGCCAGCTTATTGGACTCACTACACCCACTGGGAAATGATGCCCCATAGTACACATATAAGGCCATCAAAGGGGAGAATAAGGAAAACCCCCATCTGTTACTTGGCACATCAGCATAACACTAAATCTATTATCTGACACATCGACTAACCTATTACTTGTCGGGCATTAACCACCTGACACCCTACCCCTCAGACCACAACTTAATAAAAGTGGGAAAAATCAGGTAGACAGCGCTCAGAATTTGGTGGCGAGGCCCCCCTGAGACCGCTGGCAAATAAACTTTGATTCTCTGACTCTCCGTGTGCCGCTCAGTTTGTCCTCAGGGCCACCTGCTGTAACACTTGCTGTAACAGCAGGAGACAGCCATTCCCGCTTCCCCGCGAGGACCCAGCATCTGCGCTCCACTTACCACAACTTTTTGTACCAGATACTTAACTGGGGCCAGGACTGCAGCGAGGCCCGAGTTCTCTGGCGCAAAATTGAAGGGGTGCCATTAATTTCATTGTCAAGAAAACTTACTAGTGCAACATTTTAAAAAATCAAAATTAACGCAAAACATCACCATTTAAATGAAGATAAGGTCCACCCCTGCACTGGAAAACATGCTAAGTGAAAGCAGCCAGTCACAAAAAGCCACATATTACATTAATCCATATTGTATGAAATGTCCAGAATAGGCAACTCCAGAGAGAAAGAAGCAGGCTGCTTAAGGGAGCAGGGGGAAGATAGGGAAGTGATAGTTAAAGGATATGGCGCTTCTCTTTGTGGTGATGAAAATGCACTAAAATCAACCATGGGAATGGTTGCTATCTCTGTGAATATACTAAAAACTACTGAATTGTATACTTTAAATAGGTCAATTGTATGATATATGACTTATATCTCAATAAAACTCTGTAAAAACACACACAGCCCAGGTTGAAGCAGACAGGCAGGTGGTGACAGCTGATGTCCCCAAGTCTGAGGGGCTGTGCCCTCCACTGACTACTTCTCCAGAAAGAAACCCAAGTTCCCACAGCCACTCCCGGGGCTGGCTCTCTCTTCTCTACCAGGGCCATCTGTTCCGGGTCAACATGTCCAGCTCAGTTGATGGACTGTACAAAGGTTCTATAGCAAACTCAGCCCATGAGCAGGTTTCCAAACATCTCTCATCAAGAGTAAGGGTAAAACAAAACAATGCACCATCAGGAAAATCACTAAGCCTTGCAAGTGGGAAAAAAATACCAGTGGCCAATTCAAAGAAATCTCAGCAGCATTCGAAAGGGTAATATCCACAAAACAAAGAGGTGCTAATGAGGAAGTTCTTAAAAATTGTCTAATCAGGATGGAGACATAACAATTAACTTTGAAAACTCAAATGAGCACACAACACCCATCAGAAGAGTCATCCACGTGAGAGGAAAATGCAGTAAGACCTGCAAAAGGCAATGGCTCTGCATGTGAAAAAGCACCGCCTTCTCAGAGAAAGGGCAGAAGAGAACACTGGAAACCACTCTGGGATACTGGCAGCTCCTACTCCACTCTCCTCCAGCTGCTCTTAAGTCCAAGCCCAAACCTAAACCCCCAAAAAGGGACTCATGCTGGGACCAGCCACAGGGTGATTAAGTATCTCCGATTAAAAAAAAAAAAAAAATACCAAGACTCCTGGACTCCTGGTAGGCGGCCTTATTCTTCCAAAACATGATCTGAGAAGCGACTGGCTCCACAGCAGCAGCACTAACTCCTCCATCCACCTCATCCTGTACCAAAGCTTCAGAGCAGATTCTAACAAAACGCTAACAAACAGTGAGAACCACAAAGGGAAAAAGAAAAGTCTAGCAGGAGGCCAACACCTTAACCGCTGTGAGATGCAACCAGTCTGGCACGGTCAGCCTTAGAGGAGATCTTTCTGGAACCAGAGTAGAGAGTCTCACACTTCAGCAGTTCTGCCTGTTGCTAAAGAGCAGACCGCACACAAATCCCCCCAGTCTGTAGCCCCTCCATGCCCCTGCTCCCCATCCTGCTCTTGACAATCACGTCATTCCCTCAGATACTCCTGTTGTCCTGGTAGCAATGGAGCACCCCCTGCCTGTCTCTGCCTTAGACCCAAGTTGGCTTCTCTGCACTGAAGAGATCACACACAAAACCACTCTCCGTCAGGCACCAGCTCACAAGTTAGCGAAGAAAACAAACATTTTCACGAGCAACAATAAGACAGGGAAGGCAGCACCTCAGCTAGTGATTCCTGTGTTGACTGCAGAATCTTCAAAATCTTTCCATGTCCCAAAGGACGAAGGTCAAAGGGAATCACTGGCCAATGACTCTGATGGGCCTACTATGTACACAAAGACCACAAGGAAGAAGATGAGGATGAGGATGGCAAGTCAAACACGCAAAGGATACTCTCAGAATCACTCTTGACAACCAACCATCTAAAAAAGAATTAGAGGACAAAAATATCGTGCAGCGACACCCGAGGAAGAGAAGGAATTCGACAACAAATTGGAAACCAGTCAGGAGACTTAGAGGCCCACAACTGAAGATATCCTAAAAAGAAAGAAGTTGAAGGAGCAAAAATACAATTAAAAGGCAAACTTAGCAGAAAGTTTGGCCTGAGACCCAGAGTGGCACAGCTACAAGTACCAATGGTCCTAGGGTTTAATGTTTAATGAGCACACAGAGGTCACTATTCCCCTGACTGGGGTCACAGGCACTGAACCCTGGGCCAGGTTAACACCTACAGGTGAGGCAGCAACAAGGATAGAACTAAATGAACTTAAAGGTTTGAATGTCCATCACGAAATGTAAGATTCTCTGGAAATATATACTGATCATCTCTGGGCATAGGCACCACTTCCTAAAAACCTGAGAATGCAATAAGTGCATGTGTTCCTGCTTAACTTGCAGCGAAGGAAGAGTGGATACTGCTTTTTTGAGAAACGCTCCTCACCTGTACAGCACAAATGCAGCAATGAGCAAAGGGGAAACGTTCTGACCCTTGCTATCTAGCATGTGCTATTGATGGTAAGTTATTCTTCATCGAGAGCTTTAATCAAGGAAGATGAACAGTCTTCTGGATCCCTGTTATCAGTGCTGGATTAACAGGGAATGAGGAGTGTAATTACTGGGCACTGGAGAGGGGTGGGAATCAAAAATCAGGAAAAAAGAGAAGCCTTGTGTCATGTTAATGAAGAAAAGAGAAAACTGAAGCACAGTTGTATTTCTGAGGTAGGCATGTGATAGCTGAGAGAACTTTAGAGATTGAGACTCTAACTCTAATCACCCAACAGTGATTTCCTAAAAACCTATCCTAGAAGACTATTCTTGTTTCACGATTATTTTGATGAATCCAATTGCCAGAAATGAGTGTTTTTATGAATCTTTGCAAGAGGCTTCTAACGACCCTTAACAAAGCATGCTTACCCAAATTTTGTTGCAAGCTTTAAACAGCATAACTATACACACTTTATATTGTTTTATACTTCTCACCCAGGGTACCAACTTTCCATAAGAATTAAAGGATTGGAAACCAAATTAGAGGCAATGCAACCCTACGAAATGGTAGCCAGCAGTAAAAATAAACCTTTTGGTTCTTCCCAGTTTCAGTTATCCAGTAGTAGAAATAAAAATACTTGCCCTAAGGAAGATGATATTGACAATCATGACACCTTTAAAAACATTGAAGTGCAGAGTAAAAACTCCAGCAAAATGAAGGTATACTGCCTGCAGTTATTTCTGAATGGGAATTAAAAGTATTAACACTTTCTTTTCTTTTTGGTGCTACATTAAGTTTGCTTCTATTAAAAAAAAAACATGAATCAAGTATTTTTACCAAATGGCTTAAAAGAACATAAGTTTTCTGCTAAGTTTTGTGTACAGAAAACCTCATCTCTTAAAGTCTACAAATTATATCCATCCATATATTTACTATCAAAGTGGAAAAAAATCCATGAAATTAAAGTCATGGAAGGTTTCTCTATGAATCTACAGCCAATGTTGTGTTTTATTCATTTTAATACATGTAAACACTAGGCCAGGCGCAGTGGCTCATGCCTATAATCCTAACACTCTGGGAGGCCAAGGCGGGGGGATTGCTTGAGCCCAGGAGTTTGAGACCAGCCTGAGCAAGAGCGAGACCCCATTTCTATAAAAAACAGAAGAGTTAGCCAGGCACAGTGGCGCACACATGCAGTCCCAGCTACTCAGGAGGCTAAGGCAGGAGGATCACTTGAGCCCAGGAGTTTGACGTTACAGTGAACTACGATGATGCCACTGCACTCTAGCCCAGGTGACAGAGTGAGACTCTGTCTCAAAAAAAAAAAAAAACCAAAAAAACAAAAGTATGTAAAATACTATCTTGCCATTTAATTGTACTCTCAAGCTTATTTTATGCCCCTTCTATTAAAAATACATGAAATGTATAAGATAAAATCTAAATACAGTGCTTTATTCTTAGAGGTTGGTCTAGAATTTCCTGAAATGTTTCTGATTTATAATATTGAATATCATCATTTTAGATTTCAGCCTAAAGGCAAGCATTCAATCTGGTGGATAAATTTAGATGACACTGTTCATTGATATTTTGAAGAACCACTTGAAACTGGATGCTTTTTGTTTAAAAAAAAAAAAATGTTAAGTATTAGTTGGCCTTTTTATTTTATGAAAGGCCAGAACCACTTCGTAACTGATAAAAACAGCCAGCATCACTGTGCCTCTTGTTGCACTTACTTACGTGCAGCGCATTAATACAATAAACCTAACTTCTAGAGGTGCAGGGGAGGAGGTGGACCCACAAAGCCAGCTGCACGCTGTAGTTTGCCAATTTGAATTTCAAAAAATCAAATATTGCCTTAAAATATTTCCTTTCGTTACTGAGGTTTTAGCACCCCCTTAATTTTGTACATATGACGAGTGCCTCAGTCAGCTTGCCTTAGTACCAGCCCCATATTGGAAACACCATGTATCCATGCCCACAGCTTTATGGACAACTGCTAGCATTAATCATAACAACTTACAACATCAGAAATTAAGCAAATTAGTCATCAGGAAACAAGTCCAACTCACCTGGGGTCACAGTCAATGAGGGCCCAGCCCCCGTGGAACTTTTCATCATCAGGCAGTAGTAACTTCATGTAACTCTGTAAGAGCTGGTTGATTAGTTCCTGGTGGCTTCTCTGGTTTTCCTTATGCAAAGCTTCATGCTCTTTCTCCTTGGTAAATATGGAATAAAGATCTTCTGTCACTGGAATGCCTTGCATCAAATCTAGGGTGGAAGTGTTAATATCTATCATCATCTTAGTTTACTAATATATTTTTTAAAAACAAAAGAGAATGTAAGACCTAAAATTATAAAGCCCTTAGAAGAAAACACACACACAAATCTTTATGACATTGTATTAGGCATAATTTTCTAGATGTGACACTAAAATCATAAGCAACAAAAGAAAAAACAGACAAACTAGACATCATCAAAATTAACAACTTTTGTGTTTCACAGGGCACCATCACAAAAGTGAAAAGATAACCCACAGGAGAAAATATTTACAACTCATTTAATGGGTAAGGGACTTGTATCCAGAATATAGAAAGAACTCCTACAACTCAATAATAAAAAGCCAATTTAAAATATGAGCAAAAGATCTGAATAGACAAACTATTAATAAGTTCCTCTTGGTGGGGCATCAAGGAGGCTTCTGGGAAAGAAGATCTGCCAACCACTGGTCCTAAAAAGGGAAATGAGGAGCCCAGACTGCTACTTCCTTCTTTCTCTCAACCTTGAGGACAGCAGCTTCAGCGGGGATCAGGATGAAGCTGACGCTATGGACTGCTGAACGGAGGGGAGGACAATTGAGAACCTGGGTCCTCAGTGACAAAACTCAGTTGCTAGATCAACCAATGGAAGCAAGGTATCTTATTTTTTCCTTAAATAAACTGCTAAACCCTGTGCTATTCTGTAGTTAATAGCACGCACCACCCACCCCCACCCCCCATCTCTGGCGAATAAATCAAACGTCGTCTTTACATCAGAAATTCCTAAGTGGCTTGTACCTAGGCCCTATTAGACTAATGTGTATGCTAAATAATCAGGTGAAAAAATGGGATTTTAAAAAGATTCGTGGGGACCATGGATCTGCTATGTTACATTTGGTTCTAATCCAGAATATTCTCCATTTACTTTAATCGTATAAGGTAATATTTTCGTGAAAATTAAATTAAAAACATGTCAATGCATAAACTCTACTGGGTCATCTACCCTTCCATTTCTTCTAAAAAATGATAAGTTGATTAGGATAATCTCTAAATCTGGTACCCTAAAATCCTGTTAAAACATGCTACAGAAAAGGATAGTGGATTTGTCCACATCAAGAACATAGGATAAATGGCGTACAGGAAGAGAAAACCACCCAGTTTTCTTAGCCTTGCATAATAGGAAAGCCAGCAGAATATGAAGTTCTTAATTGTTGTGGTGTAGGGCACTTATTCCGCACCCCCGGAACTTCAAATCCTGCCTTCCACTACGAGAGCAGCAAACTGACAATTACGTATGGAAATGGCTTCTTTTGTTGCTCCAGTCAAAAATATTTCAAATTCTAATCTTGTAAAAACTTGAATTTGATTTATTGGGTAAGATGCCCAATATAGAAACACAAGTATATTACAAAACTTGAGTTATGTCAATGAAGTTGGTTTCTGTAAAATGTTAGTCACAGAAGGAATAATAAATTTTAAGGAAAGAAAGACATTTCTGTTCCTTACCTATAACAGCTTGCCTATAAGCATCCTTAAATCGATTGAGGTAATACCTATTTGCTGAGTTAACTCCATCTTTCATAACTCCTGCTAACTTCCTTTCACCTGTCCTGGTAAAGTCACCCTGTCAAACAAAAAGGTATTTTGACCATTTATTCAAACACAAGAATGTTCTCCCAAAATCAGTTGTGGGCTTTCAGTTCAAGACTGGAATTCTACAGGCTTTTATAATTTCCAAACTATAACTTTTATAATTTTCAAATAGTGTAGTTAAATTAAAGTATCTACTAGTATTTGACTCTGATCCAAGTATGTCAAATAATTAAACACGCTATTTGTAGCATCAGGTCTTCACAGTCAGATAGTGCTTTAGTGTATAAAGCCTGGAAAATTGTAGAATTTCTAGAATTTATAGGTCAAAACCAATTATATAACAAACACAAAAACAATAAAGATTTCAAGCCTCAAATTGGTATAATATTCAAAAACCAAATTTCTGATGTACGAAATGTGGACAGTTCCCTAGAGTTTATTATAATAGGCTTTAACCTGTGTGTATGTGTAGATGTAGACAGAGAGCAAGATCAGGGGTTTCCATACCTCTCTGAATATTACAATCACCTGTAGAACAATCCAATGAAGATTTAAACTGTTTTGTTTCCCTTGCTTTTCACAACAAAGGTGTCACAGGAAGTCCCTAGAGAGGTGATGACTTAAACTTGAGGCAAGGAAGGTACAGTCTCTCTTTTTCCTCATTCCAACCCCACTACTTCTACCCAAGGCAATCTCAGAAATCTCAGGCCTTGTTCGAAATCTGGCAGTTTAGGAAGAACATGCTGCCAATTAGGCCATTCACAGGGAATATTAGTTTAGCAATGAGAATCTACTACAGAAGAGAGAGAGGCATAAATGCTGATCCCAAAGAAGTTTAATAAATTCAAATGGAAAAAAAAAAAGTATTTCTCTTATTAAACAATAACTTGTACAAGGACTTCTAAAGTTTACTTTCCTTATTTAATAAAATGCTTTTGATATTTATCATTCAACCAAAAAGAGAGACTATCTGATGCCTGTTGAGTCCTTGATGGTACAATTGGTTATAAGAAATATCCTGAAATGAACCATCACCTTAAAGAATGATTAATATAAACCTAATTTAAACTAATTCAACCACTTCCTATTGCCCACAAAGGGCAATGCCCTCAGAGGGACTATTTCGTTACTAGGGACTATATTTTACATTTAACTTAAAATTATGTGAAGACTAGCTATGTAGGATCTTCAAAAGACTTTATTTACAGTAACAGTATTTTTTGTTATTATAACCCACATTTCTTCAGCATTTACTATGATGCATTAATGAATATAATCCCATGACAATCTTTTGAACGAGGCCTAGTATTACTCCCATTTGACAAATGAGACAGATTAAGCAACTAGTCCCAGGTCACAGAGCTGGTAAGAGGCGGGGTTGGGATACAAACTCAGAGAAGACAAAGTTTCATACTGGGGGCCTAATCCCACCAGTAGACATGTTTTGCTTGTACACAATTTTGAAAACTAATCATTTCACATAAAATTCTCGATTTCCAGACCCCCTTGAAAAACTGGAAGATCTGACAACACAGGACCTCACAAGAAACAGCAAACTGGCCCCTCCCAAGACAGCATATCCTCCTCGGGTCCACACAGCCCCCCTTCTCCCTCTGATCTAATGGGTGTCCTGCTGGAGTCACATTACCTGGCTCCTGACCCCTGCCTTAGCGAAAGAGGAGTCAACTACCCAGACCTAACACCTGTAGCCCACGTACCTTTTTAACCCTGTGTCCTACAAAATGATCCACAAATGCTTGCTGCAGGTATTTACCTTCAAAGCAGCTGTCCCAGCATACTGTCTGCTAATGGAGTCACCATTGTTAGCCCACATTATCTGGTAGATTCGATTACATTTCACAGGTAATGGCTGCTCCGGGGGCATCACACCTAATTTTTTCAGCTGAAATGAACACATTGATGGATTAACTATATATGGGTCAGGAAACCATAGCATAAAACATGTACTGCAGAAAAAAGGAAACATACTCATATACAATTCAGGACCCTTAAATTTTAAAAAATGGTCTTTTCATACTTTTTGAAAATTAAGCACTGCTTGAAAGACAGCTTTATGAAATGCCACAGCTGAATAAATATAATGAAATATACTTTTTTGATATAAGTTTTAATGTGTAGGATCATACTACTATATTTTGCCTTTGTTTTAAATTCGCCTATGTAGTGAATCTATCAAAAAAGCACATAGAAACAATGGTATTATCTGATCACAGCATGATTGAAAAAAAAGAAACAGTAATAATGTTTAGAGTAGCAGAGTAGTCAAGTGCCCAGTAAATGTTAACTGTGCCAAGGCTTTCACATAAATTATCTCATTTAATCATCTTAACAACCCTATGCGATCAATACTGTTATTTCCCCCATTTTAAAGATGATGAGACTGAGGTTTAGAGAGATTAAGTTCTTTGTACAGAGTCAACACCTAGTATGCAATAAAGCCAAGGCTTAAACTCAAACCTGGTTGCTTAAATGCTACATTAGAGGAACAGATTCATGTCCTCAAAGAATAGTCACAAGGTTCTATAAGAAACAAAACTAGAAACGATGCTAGGTATTTCTACCTTGGGAATTTAATACAGGGACTTTTTCATCCAGATGTTGGAGGGCTGAAAAATCTAAAAGGGGACACTGAGGTAACAGAGATGATGGAAGACAATGAAGGAAGCAGCTGTCACTCCTAGGGCTGGGGCATAAAAGGAAGAGGCTGGTTTTGTGGTGTCAAAGGAACCAACAAGCTGCCAACAGGAATAACAGGTGAAGGGGAGCTTTTGCCTTTTTCCTCCTCCTGCCTCATGGTCTTCCTTTGGCGCCCCCTATTGGCAGAGCCAGCAGTCTGAGCAGAAGTGTGTGCAGACTCCCAGTCCCAAACACACAGGAAGGGTGAGTTTGGCAGTGAGAGGAAAAAGGTAAATGAACACACAATGCCATCCAACAGATTTTAAAATGTTGGCCCTCACATTTTTGAAATAATTAAGAAAATGCCACTTTGTTCATCTTATTTCTAATGAATGTTGTTATTTCCAAGTTTTAATGCAATAAGGATGGTTGCATAAGAGTTCTACAGATCATTTGATTTTGAAAAAAATTCTCATAATGCAAGTATTGGGGAAAAAAAGAGAAAGAATAAGAAAAAGATTCTAGTTATTTGGGTACTCATGAAAAAAGCATTTATAAAATGAGTATTTACAATCCAACGGGCTCTAAATTACCTGTTGTTCCATGACCACTCTTGAAATGGCAGCCTGAACCACGTTGGTGCGATCCAGGCAGTCCATACAATTAACGCGAAAAATCCCTTCTTGTTTACATATTACCCCAGCTTCGTCAACCCTTTTCAAAAACAGTATGGATTATTTAACAATATAAAATACTTTAATAGGTTTTTCAAAAGATAATTCTTTAAAGTATATCAATAATAACAGCAGCATTAGCCACCAATTTGCTTGGAATATCATTATGTGCCAGGCATTACTGAGTCCTTTATAGACATTATTGTTAAATTACACAATAACTTGGCAAGGAATATGTTATTATCCCCACTTAAAAAAACACACACCTGAGGGGAAGAAAGAGTGACTTTTCCCAAGTCCTACAGCTGCTAGGCAGAACTGAAATAACCCCAAATTATGCTTTCTTACACACTTAAAAACCAGAAGGCACTTTAAAACACATCTTGTTCCTTTTGACTCAAAGTAAAAATGCATCTCAACTATCTCAAAAAGACTAATTTACTTTACCACCCAGGGAGGAGTCATGCAGCATGCCTTGCTCATCTAATTTCTCTGGCCACCCGCATAGTCTTAAAATCTAATCGAATGTTCTCTCCTGTCCTTTAAGCCAATTTATACTTCCTATAGTCTGAGAATCATTTCCCTTTTCTGGTAATTTTGAAATGCCTAAAAACTGAGACCAAGTACCTCTAAGCCTTCCATGTTAGGGATGGTGAGAAAGAGGAGAAAGATAAAATGTGGACCACAGAGCAAGAGAAGAAATAAACTTATGTCCTTAAAGAACGGCCGCAAAGCATTTCACTTCATTTTGCCCGACTGCATGACACCTTCTCCCTGTTCAAAGCTAACACTGCCTATAATCAATGACACTCTCTTGAAAAAAAGAATAGGAACTGGGAAGCAGAGCAAACAAAGCTTTCTCAGCATGCTGCTATTATTTTAATGCTTAGTGGTACTAGACAAATACATATATTTCACAGACCAAGAGTTTATCAAAATGAGTTGTTATGAAATACCCACCAACACCACTTCATGTCCAGAATAATGTCATAAATGGCATCTGTGAGTGTTTGAACATTCTCAAACTTCATCCCTCGGCTAAAGCCCATGCCAAAGGAAAGAAAAAAATCTTTAATATGATGATAGAATTATTTTTTGAAAACTTAAGATATGACATTTAAGGTAGTTTGGAAAAATTAAAAGAGAATTATTATGGGATATATAAGAGGTTGTTACTACTATATGTTATATAGACCATTATATAAAAAATGTTTTTAATTAATCTGCATTGTGGAAAAAAGCACACTTAAGAATACATTGAAACGTATTATTACAGATGTCAAAATCTTCTTCCCCCATCAAATTTCTAATACCTAGGTAAATTAACCCAAATTAGAGTCAGGATTATGACAAAAGAACCTTGCTCTCAGAATACACACAAGTTAAAAGCACCATCAAAATGATTCACGGATTGTTGTTTTTCCAGAGCAAACTCTAGTGCAGTTTATCCACAGGGAAAGAAATATTACTAACAGAGCATGAATGTGAGCCAGCTGGGTAATTTTTAAGTAAGGAAACTCTATTACTTCTGCTCAGACTCAAGCAGAAAGGAAATGCACCATAAGTTCTTTAACCGGTGTGATCAAAGTAAAATTGGAACTCTAAGTCTCCACATCATTTTGGAAGAGAAAGACTAAATATTTTGGCAACAACTAACGCAAAATTTTAGCCGATATGAAAATTAAAACTAAGTAAACAAATGCTACACTTCCCTTTCTAACAAGGAGGAGAAAAAATTTTTTCTTCCCAGCAGAGAAGAGAAGCTAAGGTCCCTGGGGTAGCATCTACCACATACATTGCATGCAACTGATCAAAACTCATCTCAGGAAGTCATCTTACCAGTGCTCGTGGAAGTCAAATGAAACATAAGTGAGATGTGAGTTGTTAAAGAGCAACACTTGCTTCAGGTAAGCATCACCAATAATTTTCTCTCTTCCTGCCTGGTCTACCAAGTTAATAATAACCTGTATGAGCAAAGAAAAAAATTAAATTTAATTAGACATTAGAATCATAATGTGATTCTTAAATGATTTGGAATTATGTTTTAGAAATATTTTATAACCATCCTTAGAAAGTAATCCACTCAAGCATCAATTTTTCCCTATAAAATTAAATTTTCATTTGTTTCATAAATTTAAGTTTACCAGAATTGCTTACATCAGTAGCATTAATAATTTTTCTATATATCTGCAATAACCAATTAGAATACATAATGAAAACAAGGTCCTTTATAACAGCAAATATTTTAAATATCCAGAATAATTTAAAAAGAAATATATAAAACCTGCATACTGAACACTATAAAACTTTGCTGAAATACATAAAAGAAAACCTGAATAAATGGAAATACATACCATGTTGATGGATGGCAAGATTCAATATTGTAAAGATGTCAAGTTTCCCCAAATTAATCTATACACTCAACAATCCCAACCAAAATTCAATCAGGATCTTTTTATCAACTTGACAAGTTAATTCTAAAGTTCATCTGTAAGAGTAAATATGTGGAAAAAATTTGGAAACTAATAATAATAAAGGGGGACTTGCCCCATTGGAGAGCAAAATATACTCTAAATCTATAGCAACTGAAACTGTGGCACTAGTGTAGAAATAGATAAATGACTCAGTAGAACAAGACTGATGGCCCAGAGACGAATCTATGTACACTGAGGAATCTAAGATATGCTAACAAGACCACTGTGGAGGCAAATATGGAATATTCTATAAATGGTATTGGGATAATTGTCTATATGGGGAGTGGGGAGAAGCTTACATCAGCTCCCAACATCTCATTAATTCTACACAAAATTCCAGATGCATTAATGATCTAAATATTTTTTTCTTCAAGTTACAAAAAAGCTAGAAGAAAATTTAAATGTTTTCTTAATTGTAAGGTGGGGCATGACTTTCTAAGCATAACATAAAAGTCAGAGGGCATAAAGGAAAAGATGGGCGGATGTGATAACATAAAAATTTTAAGCCTGTGTACCAAATGATAGTATAAGC